CCATCATCCTGCGTTGTCCCAAGCCACAGCAACACAAACAAGTTGCTGTCCCCAGAATAGCAGGGCAGCTTGGCTGGGTTTCTGCAGCCCTCGTCTTCACCCCGGATTAGGTGTGGGAAGGGAGGTGCCCAGGCCAGCTATGGCAAAATAGGCTCCATTACAGCAACTTGATCCTCAGGGCAGCACCCACTTCTGCCAGCTGCAACAGTTGCACTGAGGTCATTCTCACTGCTGAAGCAATCCTGCATTCAGCATTTTAATTTACAATAGCTTTCAGACACAAATTTAAAACCCAAACAAAATGCTGAAACAAAACCTTACCATTAACTGCAGCACCTCCCCGCTCTGGGGAAAGGGTGCTGGTTTGGTCCCATGGAAGAGGTGGTCCAACTACACTCACCCTCCCATTCTCCACGCCAAGATGAAATAGTTTTATTGGTACAGCAGAGATTGTGCCAGCTGTTTAATTACGAAAGGGGATGGGGATGATGGAGGTAATCTAGGATCTAGCATCTGTTATTAGGTCACTGGGTTCCCACATACTGTTGCGGCTCAAACTAGTTTCCACATGAAGCTGTTGTTGGCAAAAGCATCCCACAGATAACGGCTCTGTCTGGACCCAGACTGACCCACCCAGTTCTGCCAAATTATTCACAGAATACATTCTCCACCACAACCTCCCGGCTTGACAGTCTGCAAGCAGATTTCTTCTGTGGTTTCACTCATTCCGTATACTGAGTTAGAAACTGGAAGAAACCCTAAGCCTAACCTGAAGGGAGGCCAAAAGCTCAGGCCTTAAAGGGGACTAGCTAAAGACAACAGCTTTTCTAAAAGCACACAGCAACATAACATCCAGGTAAAAATGCTGCAGTGATCTCTATCCTTCAGAATGACAAGCGATACAAAATACTGCTTATTTAAATAGGCAGATTATATAAACTAATTAGCATTCCCTAAAGTTATACAAACCTCATACATCTCTATCTGATTGTCATTCTGTTAGAACTTGTTATATAAGTGTTTTACGAAGCAGAACCAATGCATTCTTTTCATTACTCTGCAAATGGGCAAACCTGCTCTCTAAATGTCAGGCATCACAGTGGTTTGCAGTAGGCACTGTTCTTGCTTCTGTTTCGATGCCAGATAGTCACATACATGACACCAGCCCAAGGGGGGATTTTGCACACAGGCACGCTAACAGTTCAAACATGGTAACAAAATACAGATTCATTATAGATTGCCATAAAACGCTTTCAGCCAGGACTAGCTTAATGAACTGCTATTAAGTATGGAAGTATATAAGTTGATACGGTGTCACTGACTCATTCCTTCTAATGAGATAACCTTTAAAAGCTCAACTGCCACATACATGGAAGGCAAACGCTGCTCCTGCAGGAACCTAAGACAGTATTAAGTAACTGCAAACGCTGAGAAACAGAGGTTAGTTGTGTCCTCCCAGAAAGACATGAGCCCAAATTACATACCAGTAAGTATTTCCATTCCTTAAGTTTAAAGTTAAGTTCTGCTCTCCAATGCTCTCCCACAAACCAAAAGACAAACTAAAGAGAAATGCACAAATTTCCAGAGATTGCTTGCTTAAACTATTTATTCATTTTGAACATTTATAACATGGAGACTTGCAGATTTCTCAGGTCACCAAAGGTTAAAGTGTCTAAAACATTTGAAAAATCTGACGAACCATCTCACATTAATTTTTAATCCAAGTGGATAAAACAGAACAAAACTACAGCCTAACTTATTTGTAATTCAGCAATATTACTTTAAGAAACTGAAGCTGTGTAAGTATTTCACTATTTTGCCCAGTATTTTGCAAGGTGGCTTTAAGTCAGACACTTCAAGCATCTCTCATTTCACAGTTGCAATGTTTTTTGTTGTCTGTGGCAAAGATAATTTCTCTTTTGATTCCCCCAAAAAACATCTCCTCATTTTCGAAACACACAAACCTGACACAGTACATGTGTTCACGACGTAACACATTAAGAGCAGGCTTTCTGCAGTATGCACACATGGCAGTCTCCTCCAGTCTCTTCAGAAACCAGCATGCTAGTGTCTGTTTATGATTAACACTACCTATGAGTAATGCCACATGTTAGTAATTCTGTCCTCCTTACGACTCAGTCTGTGGCTGGAATAAGTGTGCAAAGAGCAGATGAAGCCAGCATCAGAGTTCAGCTAACGAACAGGTTATCTAGTGCCACAGAGGTTTGGTTTAGAGCCAGAGGCAGCACTATGCCTTGCCATGTGGGCAAGGGGGAGGGTTAGACAGCAGTTTTTCTCACTTTCCTTCAGCAGCTATCTGCTGGAAGACATCTGTAGTTTTTGTTTTGTATTCTTTGTTTGGGTTTGTGGGTTTGTTTTTTTTAAAAAAACGACCCTATTCAATGCAAAGGTTGGTATACAGCATTAACCATCAAGGTAAAAAACTTCCTGCACGGGAGTCACTAACCTCCTTCAGATGACCCTGTGAAGGCCTCCCAAGAGTTTCTGGATGAATAATCTTATTACAGGACAGAAGAAAGTAGAACTCTAATCTGCACAAAGCCTCTTATTTGTACTGGGCAACAGCTCAGCCAGAGACAAGGCAAGAAACTTGAATGCAGGAACAGATGAAGAACGCCTTCTGCTCCAGCCAAGGTTCTGGCTACTAATTGACAAGTTTACCAAATAACAAACTGATCTCCAATAAAACACTTCTAATTCTTTTAACGTGGCGTTTATTAAAGACATTCACACACTTCTAGTCTAAGTGAGGTAAATTAAGTCACAGTGTCTTGCAGTTACTACAGAACTGAATGAGCACAAGTATAGCTTTTTAGCAGCGTGCTGACCCACAGCAACTTTTATTTCATTGCTGAACCAGGACTGACAAGCTCTGGATTTACAGCATTTCAAAGTGGGATACAGAGCATGGATTTGAATTCCACTGTCCCACTTCCCCTCCCATACGGAAGGTTGCTAACAGTGACCCACGCACAGAGTCCCAAGACAGGTAAGTTTCATAGCTGCCTGTTCAGGAACTCTCCACACAAGCTCCTTCGCATGGATTCAGAAAAACACGCCACATGCAAATACAGACAGCATTATTCAACCCACATGAAGTTGGCATCTTCAAAATAAAGAATTCTTGACTTTCTTGCCAAAGGGCCGCATTTTTTCAAATCTTCCTAGGTTAAACAAGGCCTAAAGTCCAAGCTGTTCAGCACATCTATTGTATTCAACTATAAAGATGGCATCAGTATTACAGCAAGCAGGGGCTAAGGGTTGTGGGGAGGGAAGCAAGCAGATGGGGCACACAGAAGTTTAACAAATGCAAGGTTTAAAAAGAGCAGCTCCTCCCTCCCAGTTCGTACCCACTGAGAAGTCCTGACCACCACCATTTCTGCAGGCTGCAGCAAGCAGGACTCTTAAACATAACATGTGACAGAGGGAGAAGTTCAGACAGATTCAGATCCCTGCCAAGTGACTGTAATCCAGTCAGTATAAATTATATACCACACACAGAGCCACTCAATTAGCATATTTTTTCCTGTCTCCAAGTTTGTGCTTCTGAGAGGTGGCAGTATCACATCAGCACATTGCTCAATAAAATCATGCATGGAAAAAGCCGGATCAGAAAGGTAAGGCTGAACCCAATGGAGAGAATCAGTATTCAACTGCTACACAGCAGTAATTGCTCCAGCACACTATGGAAATAGTGGTTTTGTCTTTGGAATCACATCACAAGTGGGCCCATGTAATTTTGGAGACCGCCAGTCATAATGAGCAAGTAAAGGCACTTGAAAAACCAAACGAAAAACCAAACCAAAACAAAAAAACGCCAACAGCTGACAGACAGGAAGTTGTGCTATCTTCTAGTCAAACACAAGACGGAATAATTTCATGAACTCTTTGTATTTACAGGATTTACAGGTAAGAGAGGAAGCAAACAGGTTTAGTCATAAACAAACTGCAGGGAATGAGCCAAACCAAACACTAAGCTTCTGAAAAAGCTTTATTTTAGAATAAAGTTTAAAAATATCTATGTCATACTACAGAGCTGCCCCTTTCCGTATGTAGCTGTAGGGTTTAGCTTAGTTTGAATAATCTCTCCACTAACTGTGGATTTTATACTATTGGCAAAAGGTGCTGAAAAAATTAAAAACGCAATCAAGAGAAGGCAAATCGAGTATGAGCTCTGTGAGGATCCTGGCATGTATCTATTATGTTAGTTATTTACATTCAGGATTAGAGATTTATTTTACAAGGACATTAACAACAAAATTGCACAAAGTTGTTTAATGCCTTCCATGCTACAAATCACGGGGTAGAACAACCAAATCAACCTTTCAATGTTATGAAGCTTATCCTAGGAGGGAAGATAACATGCCCTAGCTAACTTGAAACAACTGAAATATTGGATCCAGGCTCCAACTGAAGCACTACTGAATTGATCTTATCATTAGTGTTTACTTCGACAGACAGGTCTATAGCCTTGTTTCCTCCACTCTCCCTCCCCACTACTAAATCACAGGAAAAAATTAAAAGGGATTTAAAAATTCAAGTTGATCTGTTGTTTGTGCTCACAGGCCCCTCCACGTTTGATCAGGGTTTAAATTTAGGTTTTTTGTTTTTTCAATAGGCTTTGCACGTTTCATTAATTCAGACATATCATTATATATTTTTATATGGCTTGCAATACTTTCAGTATAACTATATTTAAGTAGCAGCGTATTTTCCAAACCTACTTGTTCATTTTAGAAAAGACACACAAGCCAACTATGGTTTTAAGTATTTTTAGGCATATTGAACATAATTCTAGTTATTGTTCCAGTATCAGCAGCACTCCCCTACAACTCCTACTGAGAAATCTTCAATTATCTCACACAAGCATCTTATAAAAGCAATGTCCCTTGTGCAAAGCAGCCAAATAAATATTTCAGTTCTTGTACTTGGTAACTGAGAGATTTTTGTTGCCATTTAGACAGAAAGAGCATACTTACTGCTAGGAAGAGCATGCAGTACATGGAGAACGAAGAATGGCCAGAGTAAAATGATAGTCTGGAAGAGAAGAGAGTAGACACATCATTATTTTTCATTTGCAACACTCAGTTTACAGTGATACTAATTCACCCTACACAAGCTAACCAGTAAAATGCAAATATCTTGATGCTTTTTCTTCACAGAGGCTATCTAGGCACAGGAGGCATCGTGCATGTCTGACAACAGCTTTTGACAAAGAGCATACACTTCACTACTGAGCAGCCATGCTACCACATCAGGTAGTAACTATTAGCGCTCCAACTGAAGTTTGGATAGCAAGTAAACACATCTGCAAAGCTAGAAATCAAGCATCCTTTAAAGCAGTGTATTTGATTCATCATATCAATAAATTCCAGAATACTGTAAATACTGCCAATTTCATGTGCAGAGCCTTGTAGCAGTGCTGCTTCGCAGGCTGTCAGCCAGGTCACAGTCAGCCTTCAGTGAGATTTAGCTATGTAACACAGGACTCCTCGTGCCTAAGCATTTAGCACACACTAACAAGGCCAACTTAAAAACTTTCATAGCTCTCCATACTGCCATCCACCATACCCAGCAAGTCCCTATTTTGGTGCCTCAGAAGAGCAGAGAGCCTGAGGCCACGGAAATTCCTGGTCAAGTGAAACATTTCTACTCTTCCGACAGAGAATAATGAAGGCAGCTCTGACACGTAGTAAAGGTAAGTTTCCTCTGTAGATTTTAAGACGTCTTGGTTTATAGTAAATTCAAAGAGGTACATCAAGAGGTAGTAAATAAGCAGACTTGAAAAGAGGAATATGACTATATGTGTGTGTATATACTTTTTTTTCCCCCACACACATGTATTTTTCAATTCAGTTCTTAAATAGAATCATCGAAAGTCAGGGGTTGGAAGGGACCTCGGAAGATCATCTAGTCCAACCCCCCTGCCAGAGCAGGATCACCCAGGGCAGATCGCACAGGAACACATTCAGGCGGGTTTTGAAAGTCTCCAGAGAAGGAGGCTCCACAACCTCCCTGGGCAGCCTGTGCCAGGGCTCTGTCACCTCACAGTGAAAAAGTTGCTCCTTAGGTTGAGGTGGAACTTCCTATGTTCTAATTTAAACCCATTACTTTTTGTGCTGTTGCTGGGCACCACTGAGAAGAGATTGT